CTTTCCATGAAATTACATTTCTTGGGATGCCTGCCTTTCAGTTTATACGAAAGATATCCAAATAGTCATACACATTAAATATATTCTTTATGACACCACAGTGAATCAATATTACAACCTGCAAATGTCGAAGCGATTGGGTGAGACAGTGAAAAAAAACTATCTGAATTGTGGCAGTCGGGGGACTGACTGCTTCATCGTGAAAATGCACCTGTTTATACGGCCTACAAAACCAACCCCTTACTCGTCTGACCTTGTCGTTTGGGAAAGCGTTTTCCGAAAGAAGAAGAGGTTAAGACAAAACTGCTGGAGGCACTTAATAGCAATAGTTCAGACGTTCCCATGTACGCTGTCATTTTATCACAGCAGTACCTATTTGAAAGAAAGGCAAGTAGTTGTCTCCTACCGTTGAGATACTCCTGGAATTAACAGTAAATTCTTTCAGTTAGCAGTTTATATCCCCATCGACACTATTAACCGTTAAATTTACTCTCTTATTTTTTCCGAAAACAAAGTCTTCTTGTTGTTTCTCAACTTCCTTACCGTTTGTTCGAATCATCAATCATTTTCCCGCGAAGTTTGACACAACCTTTCTGACTGTACCACTTTAGTCGCAGACTATAAAATTAGTGCATTAGGCCACAGCCAAGAACCATGTTTCTGTCGAAATCCGCATATTTACAGCCTTTCAACGTACGTACGGGCATCAAGTAAGCAAACTCAGCCGCCTTAATCTAGACAGGCTATAAAGCGGCTAAGTTAAACCAGAATGATAGAAAGTTCTCCGAACGGGCCAACAGTCGGCGTTCGAACATATGAAGAACATAATGGGCCGTATTTTGAAGGGGATTAAAGTTTCAAGGATGTTTTTGGGTGCTCCCTCCCTGTACACACGCGTAGACGCGCCTGCCCTGACCTACCTTAGGCAGCCTCTTGCGAATCTTTGGCAACACCCGCGGAGGTACTGTTGACAGTCATTGAAATCGCGGCTTCGAGGGGTGAGGCCGTCGTGCCGTCCACAGCTTCCCCAGCAGCGGCAACGCTCTGGTCTAATTGGCGCTGCTGATCCATCTGTTGTTCAAACAGGCTCCGTCTGTGTTCCTCCACGAGGGTGGCGAAACTGTTGTCCAACCATTGACGCACCTCCGCAAAGCTCGCGATGATCACCCGTTGGCCATCCCGACTCACAAGGCAGAGCTTTTCTGGTGAGGCGCACTCCACCTATAAAAGGGTGGTGAAAAAGTATTCCATAATGAAAAGACCAAAGAGGGGTATTATCTTTGGTTGACCTAATTTTTGAATTTAAAATTCTGTCTAACTTACATGCTACTGTTCCATTCCCGGCGTCGTGTTTGTATTGTTAAAGTGTTCTCCTGTAAACGTGTGACGTTAAAGAACACGCATTGTTTCCTTGACTAGCGTCAGGCGTTATATTTGGCTAACTCCTTTGTTACTGACTACGTATATCCCTTGTTGAGGTTCGTCACTGTTTAGTGAATGGTGCCATACCATACCCAATAACTGTTATCATTGGGAATTGACGTACGCATCACGACGGGGTACTGAGCCAAAGGCCACTCTCAAAACAAAGGAACTTTAAGATGTATTGAGTAACTTTCGGGAGATCGGCGCTGTCACCAAGTAACTGGAAAATGAAATTCAGGCATGGCAATCCTGGCTCAAAAAGGGTCCAAATGAAGGCAAAGAAAATCGTCAAAAGGCTGAGTACTTTAGCTTACGAATGTAGACTTGATGTGCTGAATCTATTTCGTCTTGCGTACAGGCAGATCCGAGATCCCACACAGACCTACCGGATTGTGAGGAGCCGGGATTGCGCCCGGCACTTCGACGATTTCTTCTGACTGGTCACAACAACTAATTTGCGTGGGAATTCTCTCAAACTCCGAGGAACCTTACCTTATGGGGATATTTGTCATCATGCTTTTCCATGGTGAGTCTTTGGTGCATGGACTTCCCGAGGGTGTTATGATAGTGGACACGACAGGCGCGTTTAAACATAGACTTGATACATGTTTACTTGACATTTACTGTTTGTGTGAATAGAAAAGCTCAGTTACAACATACCAACGCTTTGCTTACACCTATAGATAAGACTCGTATCTATTATCTGACATAGGCCACCTCTGATCCTTCAGGATGACTGTGCCTTAGTCCTTGTTCCAGAAATAACTTGTCCAAGTGAATATGGTACTTCCTATTTGATAGTAACATTTCTATTTTAATATGAATATTTTTGTTTAATTGTTTTAATAGGTTCTTCAAATACAATATCACCGCTAGGCGGGCTTTTGAGCAGCCATTTTTTTTCTACCCTTCATTTTCATGAAAATTGTATTAAATATACATCACTTGTCCCAGTACGTCCATTAGAAACCGACCTTTACCCCTCATTGTTTATTTGAACTACATCAATAGGTAGTCAACGCATGACGTTAGCGCCAATTTAGGGGAAGGTAAATTTGGCCTACGGTTTGCGACATATTCAAGAATATTTCTCCGCGATGTCTACAAGTACAATCTGTGCTTTACTTTATTTACGTTGAATGGAGGACGTTTTTGCTGAGAATTTTGGAATGATATCTGCAAAATAAAGCGTACCTCTTTCACTCAAAATATGGTGAACTAGTGTCGACAATAATACAGGATAAGGCCTGTTTAGAAGAATAGGGGGAGAGGGTGAATGGTGGTTGGACAGGAGCAGAACCTACCTTGTTTAGGGAGTTAACTATGTGTGCCAGGTCCAAATGAGCAGCGCCGCATTGGTCAACCTGATGGAAGACAAAGTCTCGGAAGAGTTTCAACATGTACCGATCCCCGGTTTCTGACCATGCCGGTGCCGAACGGTCTGGACGTTTCACGCTATGAAATGAACGCCGGAAAATTGCATGGGAAGAAAACCAGGAAGGGACAAGGAAGTACTAAACAAAGGGTGAGAATAAATCACAACCAATGTGCTTGAAATTAAACCAAAGACCACACTGTATTCAATGGAAGCGGTAACCCTCAACACATTCACGTCGTTTTTGGATACTGCTGATGATGTCTGAATGAATGGCACCGGAAAAATCAATTCCCAATGATGTCATCTACCAATAACGCACCTATTTCTAAACCGAGCCTTTTCTACTAAACCTTGAATTGCTTAAGTATCGAACCATGAGTAATTGTAGCTAAATAGTGTACCATATCAATAAAAGTAAATCTCAATTATGTTGCTAAGATTTCTGTTTCTGTGGCTTGGTGGCGCATGCTGCTATCAAATAAGCAATATAGGTGAGCCTACTTTTGACTGTATCATTTTCAGGGCAGACAGTCAAACGGCGGCTGAAGCAGTATATTCCAGGGATATTAATAGGGTGAATATACTGTCAGAGGTATAGTGTTCGGGGTCGATAAACAAATGCAGACGTCTTCCCCGCGAAAGGAAGGGGCAAATGTGTAAGGAATAGGCGTATGGGGGAGGGGGAGATGTTTTTATTTTTCGGTCCTGTAAAATTGCAGCCCTTCTGAAGGAGCATTCTGCAATTATACTGGGGCTTTACAATTGGGGCTGACTCACCGCGATAAACAACAGCAACAGCAGCAAAAACTTACTCATTTCGTTCCACAACAGAATTCAGTTTGCAAATCAGACGGAAAAGGCGCTCACACTCCATTTCCTATGTGGTGAAAAAAACACGACGCATTACGGAGAGGGGACCGTAAGACGCAGAGCTAAGGGTAGGGTAAAACTTTGGATGCGAAGAAATGCAAACTGAACACAATCCGGGGCAGGAGTTTCCTTGGTAGTGGTCTTGGATACAACAAGCCGTAGTTTGTTTTCATACGGTAACCGTGAGAAGTTTTTTTTTTAAGTTGATAAACCTGATTTACCAAAAAAGTATTTTGTAAAAATAGGAAAAAAAAGTCGTAAAATTTTGTTGAAATAATGTAATACGGTGGCTAAGGCCGACGGCGTTGGGCGCGTAAATCGAAAAAAGGCGCAAAAAACAAATCGAGATCGAATTGAGCTCGAATAGAGCACGAATCGCTGTCGACAAACTTGT